TCTCTCTCTCTCTCTCTCTCTCTCTCTCTCTCTCTCTCTCTCTCTCTCTCTCTCTCTCTTTTCATCTAGTTGCATTTATTTCTCCTCTTTCTCCAGTTGTATTCTCTCCCTTCCCTCTTTACCTAATTGCGTTTGTTTCTCCTCTTTATCTCTTAAAAGTTCAATCTTTCTTAACTCTAATTTCATCTCGTATTCTAATTTAAATATATCTACATTTTTTGTTATAGTCTGGTACAGACTTACTAAGTAAAACCAAAAGCACTTTTATCCGCTAGATTTGTTTTCCATCAAATATTGGACAAAAGGTATTTTTATTTCTTGCTTCGATACAGAAGCTTTTGCCTTAGAAAGTTATTTGTTAGCAAGTTGAAGCAATTCATCCTTTTACAATGAATATAACTGCTCCTGGATTTGAAATAGTGATCTGCACTTTCTACCATATTGTAAAAAGCTTGCTGATTTCACTAAAGATTTCTTAAATGCGAAATAATACATGCGATAAAACATTCTGAAAAAGGGGAATTATAAATTACAAAAACAAAGGTTTCTGAAATATTTTAGCAAACTTCGTATATCTCACACGAGTCCCAAATGTTCTGTTACTTTTATATATTCCCAAAATATGTAACAAAAAAAGAGTGAAGGCAACAAACTTTGTAAAATTTAACAAATAGTTTATTTCCCTAGGATAGAAAAGTGCAAAATGGGAAAGAACTTACGTTATTGCGAATTAAATACAAAAAAATCAAAGAATTAAGGACACAAGTCCTAGTAATAAAAAGTCCTGAATAAAACTCAGTTCAAGTTCCCAGGTAAGTTAGAACTGAAGGCTATGACGTGTCTGTTATGACCTGCGAAGTACTGATTTGTTAATAGTCTCTTGTTAAATCACATAAATATTATTCCAGGTTTATAGTCAGTATAAACTCCAATGAATGGCCCTATCATAGAATTTTGTCAGAGCACTTTTTTATTTCCATAGAAAATAATCACTTGAATTTAACAATTTGAATAAATTAAACTGGTTACAACATAATACAACATAAAGTGCTAGATGTTAAAGCACGACTGGTACAATCTTCACAGTCACAAGATAACATATAGTTCTCTGCTTGACCTTAGATCACAATTTTCATTTTATAAAAACAACAATTATCTAATGGAAATAAATTCAATGTATTCACTCCTTCTTGTTTACCTGAATAATAATCTGATAATAGGCTCATACACATAGAGAATCATGGAACTTTTATTAGTTGTTTACATAAATGAAATTAAAAAAATAAGAGTCAATCAGGTAAAACAGATAAGAGCTCAGTTTTTTACAAGATTGAGTCCAGTAAACAATATTACATTAAAACAACATATAATGAAATAAAAACTAAAAAAACTAACAAACAATTAAATTAAATATTCATAACAGTTGATATAAACACCGACATAGATCATTTTTCTCACCCAATTTTATCCTATTAAATTAAATTACCTGTAATTTTGCAATATAGTTGGCAGATCAATACAATCACTAATGTATTATTACTGCCTCTCACTTTATAAAAAGGACATCTGGTCTTGTATGCATCATGACAATTTCATTAATTATCTAATTAATATAGCTAATTATATCGGTCTCAGAAAATAAGAAAAGAACGGAAATGTTTTAATTCTTACATGTTGGAAGTATGCATAATGAGACTATTCAAGGTGTTATTGTTCTAAATACCGTGCGTCAATACAAATATGTTAATGAAGGCAATAGGGTTATCTGCCAACTCTACACATGTGAAAATAGAAACATAAAACATTTTATATTATAACTGAATTATTAATTTTAATCAATGGATGTCATATAAATATAACAATAATTAATAAGCTTTTTATTGGTAACATGTAACGTTCTTCAGGTCTAATCTGGAAAACAGTCTACAGTCTACGAAACTACGCAGTACAATACTGAGTACACAGTTATAACAATTGAATGTGAGGGTGACAGCTAGTTTGAAACAGCACATTTTAATCGATGCAGGCTATATGGTAGCTCTTGATATGGTTTGGATTTTTGTAGCAATTGATGTGTATTGATTGTGTCTGAAGCTCTAACAGCTAGCTCAATATTGTGTGTTTGTGTGTGTGTGTGTGTGTGTGTGTGTGTGTCAGTGTTGTGTGTGGTGTGTTGTCAACATAGTTGGACAGTCCATAATTTACTTTATAAGTGAAGTTCCTTGTGTGTGTGTGTATGTGTGATTTTGATTTTATAACAACTCTATCAAACATAGCTGAAGAAAAAAGGGGTTTTCTTTACAAAAGTAGCTTCCTAGAATATTGATACAATGACAGATACAAATATACTTAGATATGAAAAGTAACATTAGCATAACAAAAAATTCCTCTGATGCAAAAGCGATATACATTGATGTATACTTTTACATGCTACGGTTGGTGTTTAGAGTTGGTTATGATTTGACCTCGCATAATTTTGCTTGAATATTTATCAAATCAAGGATCCTCAAATGATCTCGACACGAGTTCGTAATAATATTAATTCCATCCACGGCGGTAATAGATAGTTTCTCGGAATTAAATTTATCGCCCACGGCAAAAGCGACGAATGGCTGATCAGGAAAAAAAATGCTTCCAATATGCGAAGATTGTAAACATGGTACATCTCGTTACGCTGACGTCGCGGTCGCCGCCTGAGCTGTTGAGGGGATTTGGGGTCATCTATTAAATCTTTTACAACAATGCGTATCCGATCAACGTGTTTGTATACAAAATTTATGCGATGAATTAACGAATGCGTATCCGATCAACGTGTTTGTATACAAAACAGTTTCCAATGAGAACTTGTACAACTAATTGAATGGCCGCATGTTACCGAGCATGTTAGAGGTGCAGCATGTAATACTACTTTATCTAAGCATCGACGTGCGAAAATATATCAGTTCGAAGAGCGTGTAAGAGAACATGACGCTAAAACCAGTCATTATTACAACGATAAGCGGAGAAGTACTTCTTGACACTGGCAAATATAGATACAAAGCACGCGCTACAATTTCCATTTAAGAGTAAACGGCAGGGTACGCTAAGGGCTGATGTGGATTCTCAAATTAGTAATAAATTAAATTGTAAAAATATATGTTGTCCCTATTATATTCTCTATATAACTGCAAGATGTGCATGCATGATATAAAGAGAGTTTGAAATTAACAGCTAATTTTGTTCCTAAGTAGTTCAAGGTGAACCAGATTACCGCCTCTTTTAAATCTTCAAAAATTAATAACGCAGGCGAGAACACGTTTGATGTTTTTGAAAGAAAATACTTGTTTTAACCATCTAAACATATGCAAATTGTATACATGTATCGTTTGTGGTCATCACTAGCGAGCAGACAAATGAAGGCAAAATGCGTGTAACAAAAATAGGTGTCGGTGATAACCAACCGTACTTAACATAAATATATACATCATTTGGACAATATTTTGAAATATAAAAAAACAACAGAAACCCAACATATTTTTATGTATGTTATCTTTCGCTATGAGACATACTGTGTACAAACGCAGAATGTTAGATATATTTATTTATGGCAATCGGCTTTATAGAGTCGTGTTAGCTATACTGTCTGTAATCCAGGAAAATAGGTTCCATACCATTACGAGAAAACCAGCGGTTTTTAACAGTCGATGCTTTTGTTATGTTTTTTTTTTTCTTTCTCATGCTAACCTGGATAAGAATTAGATAATACTTTGGAAGAGAGAATTGACTCTTTAATTTATGAGTTTAACTGGAATATTATCGTGGGTTGAAGCAAATCTGCCCTTATCGAAACTTGTCCTTTAAATTTTATTGCTCAGGCGTTAATGAGGCAGGCGTTCTTAAGGGCAACCCAGTACAAGTCGGAACGTTTAGCAATGGTGACAACAGTGTTTTTTTGATCAGTTTCAGTTACCCAACGGCAGTGCCTGATTACCCATTAGGCACACTAAGCACGCGCTTAGGTCACTAGACCAACAGGGGCACTAGAAAAAAAATCAAATTGATGATAAAATAACAATTTCTATCTACAGGTACTAGTACTTTGACTTGGAATGATGGCAACACTGGTATTTTCCTATTTTTAAGCTTTCAATGTTGTTATAATTGAGTTTCACATAGAGGGAGGGTAATAGTTTAAGCACATACGGCATTGGAAGACCTTAATCCGGCACTACACATCGGTGACAGTTATCGACGTGAGGAATTTCACAACCAGTTGATATCAACTGCATCGAAATACATTAAAACCCCGAGACGATATGAACAATATTAATATTTCATTTACAGATGTGTTTTTCACTGTATTTAGCATGGCAATGCCAGCCTCCCCAAAACACTCAAAACAAATGGAGGCAAAATCCAACCAATTTTCTAAAAGATATCCAGCAATCATAAGTGGATTATGGACATCGGGAACCAGACGACGTTTCCGTCCATATGGTCGAGTTTTATCCTGGTAATTTCCATTTATGTATTTTGGGGTGTTTTGGTTAATTTTTTAATTTCAAACTTGATCTCGAAACTCGACAATGTTAAATTGCTAATTCAAATGTGTAAAAACTGTACAATCTGCATTTTTCTTTTAAGTTTTACGAAATTTCTTTGATAAATATTATGATGTGATACTAAATGTGAAAATGGTAAGAAAAAAAGAGAAAATAAACGTGATATGTTCATTTATTCTCCGTTATCTTTACCTTGTCAGAATCGTTCAGTATTTTACGATACTGCAGTCGTGAGCTCAATATTGTATTCACGTGAATAAAGGAATTGCTTTCTTTTGTCAACAAGCAATTTTTTTTCTCAATGAACTAAAGCAGATGTTTCGTGGACTGCCACATACCAGCTACTTTGGCACATATCGCGTTAACTTTTGTTTAATAGTTTTTCAAAATTAGGCAAACTTTAGATACCAGATAGGATCATTACAAGTAACATGCATGTTACAAGGTGTAAACTGTCTTAACCTCTCCAGTGCCCTAGTGGTTAGAGCATCCGCCTCGGATGCGGGAGATCAACGGTTCGAACCCCGGCTGAGTCATACAAAAGTCGTTTAAAAAATGGTATTGATATCTGCCTTGATAGGCGCTCAGCATTAAGAAGTTAGTGTTAGAATAATGTTACCATGTGGAACATCATGTTAAATGTCTGAGGCATGATGTCCCAGTGCTAGACGTCAATATAAACTGCCACGCTGCAGACATCATTGCGATATGACTGAACAATTGTTAAAGCTAATTTAAAAATCTAGATCACACACACACGCACACACACACACACAAACTGTTGTGTTGAGCTGGATATAAGAATGTCAAAAAAATAAATTTAAAAGTTTACATATTGAGCTTACTTCTGAATGTGCTTTCTTAGTTCTGCCATGAGCCAAGTCATGGGTTCTCAAGCTTGATTACACATTTTGAAATTGTACTGTGATTTTGACCATATTCCAAGTGCAATCACATCCTCCTTAATGTTCTCGGAATGAAATAAACATTAAATTCCAAAGCATATTTTAAAAATTGCAATTGCCAGACTAAATATTTTCCCCACATTATGATTTAAAAGATTCAATGATAGAAAAGAAACACTTGCAGATGTCAAAACGCTTTCCCTTCGCTGCTTCAGTCTTAAGTATTTAATGTAGAATTGGCACAGACCGAAATTCGATGTACTTCATGTGCCGAAATTCAGTCCATAATCACGAAATTTAAAACAGTATATTATAAAAGTAAGTTCCTGACACTGGTATAACTGTATATTATAAAAGTTAACTCCTTACCATGATGACACTGTATATTATAAAAGTTAACTCTTTACACAGATATTGCTGTATATTATAAGTTAACTCTTTACACAGATATTGCTGTATATTATAAGTTAACTCTTTACACAGATATTACTATATATTATAACTCCTTACAGAGATATCACTGTATATTATAAGTTAACTCCTTACTGAGATATCACTGTAAATGATAAACATTAACTCTTTACACAGATATTATTGTAAATTATATATGTTAACTCTTCACTCAGATATCACTGTATATTATAAAAGTAACTCCTAACTCTATATTATAAAAGTTAACTCTTTGCACAGATATCACACAGATGTTGTAAAAGTTGTTCAGTATTAATATGCTTAGCTATTGGAAAAGATAAAAAGTATTTGACTTGTTAATCAATGGGTAGCAATACTAGTTATATTCTCCATATTTCTTGTGTTAACTATATTTTTTTATTACAAACTTTTATGAACATTGAACAATAATTAGATGTCCCGTACCATGCTGATTTAGTAATGCATTGCTGGTTAAATATGCTGAACAGTAAATATGTCATCAATTGACTAAAAAGCTAGAATAACAATACACACAAGCTTCCTATACAATGTTTCTAAACAAATGCAACTGGTGTTACTGTGTTTTTGTTCAAAGAGTCTTTAGTCATAAGCTTTGCAGATATAAAGAGTTATGTTATCTGTAATTGTAATACATCCCAAAAGCTAATACATGTATATGAATCTGACTTAGGAAGCAATTAGCTACTAATAGTACCAGTGAAAGCCCAACAAAAAAAATAAATTTCAGAACTGATCAATGAGTGTTATGCACGTCAAACATGCCAGCAAAAATACAAAAAGTAAGATGGGGAAAAGACAATGAATCATTTGCACATGCTGCAAACAATATATTAACATGTCTGATTCTGACTATGAATGGCTCAGAGAATAGTAGTAATAGGGGACGATATAGCGTCAATGGGAGTTATCATTAAAATATGGCCTGGGATACTATAGCGTCAAGATTTTTGGCGACAAATGGCACAGCATGGGACACTATAGCATCAAGGGGAATTTTGTATTAGCACAACCTGGGCCTGTATAGCGACAAGAGAAATGGCCCAGGTGGCATGACGTCACGGTACTAAACACTTGGTAACAGTGTAGCAAGGAGCTGACTTAGTTGTTCTAAATACGCGCAGCTAGCACTACGACTCTAGGGAGGGGACATATAAATAGAGACATAGAGAAAGACATATATTACTATAAAACCTAGAGTTATATATAAAGCATTACATAGACTTGAAATCTGTTGATGGTGTTCATAAATTTGCATATTTATAATGATGCTATAAATAGTTTTAATCAAGGAAAAGACTAACACCAAAATGGATGTGACTAAAAGTAACGCTAAAATGACGAAATTGTCCCAGAACTTAACCGAGACTAAACATGTCCCTTAACATTAATTTACTTTGGTTTAGACTAGAATTAATACCAAAATTACGACAATGTCCAATACTATAGTGAAAATTTAAAAAATCTGGAACATTAATATTCAAGTGACTGTGACTAAAAGTAACGCTAAACATACGAAATTGTTCCAGAATATGACGGAGACTGAACTTATCGCAGTAGATTAAGTTATATCAGGGTTCCTGCAGGTCATGGAATCCTGGAAAAAAAATTTGGATTTTAAAAAAATAAATTTCAAGGGTCTTGAAAAGTTATGGAATTTGTCAAAACCTTGAAAAGTTTTGGAAAAGTCATGGAATTTGTGACAATTGAGTTAAAGAAATTGATTACTTTAAATTTTTTTAGAGCACCGAGAACCGATTAAATAAAATGATAAAATTACAATCGATAAATGGTTTCAATTCATATAATAAGAGTAAGTTCTCCTAATGGAAGTATCACATGATTTCAGGTGTAGTTCACTAAATAAAAGAAAGCAACTGGAAAGTAATGTGTTTTATTAATATTGTAAATAGGAACACATACAAAGACTACTAAGAATTGTTTCCTTTTTTCTTTTCAATACAAATTACATTGATCATTGGATTATGACATGAATTACTACATAAAGTCAAAGTGTGCTAGCCCATGTAAATTTAAAAAGTACATATTAAATATATTTGTTGTTAACTTATTTATTATTTTAAATTGAAAGATGTTATTCTTTATGTTCATTTACTTGACAATGCAAGATAGCGCGGTCCTTGAGTTTTAAGAAATGGCCCTGGAAAGGTTTGGAAAAGTTATGGAATTTGTTTTTGCTAAGTCTGCAGGAACCCTGTTAAATTTGCTTAGTCTAAAAGTAGAACTAAGATTACCAAAATCTCCCAAACCATAGTAGAGACTGAGAAAAACTCTGGAAGATTGTATTCAGATTGCCTTGACTTAAAATATTCCACTAAATTTCAGAAAAAGTAGCGGACTTGAATGGCAACTGGTAACTAGTCAGATGTATTGGTTGTTAGAAATAGTTAAAGACGAAGTGTAGCACTAAATTCTGAAATTGCACCTGGCTTTAGCGGAGACTGAAAATAATCCATAGATAATTTTTTAAAATGTTACCATGACTTAAAGTAGTACTGAAATTATCTAAACTCATACCGACCTTCGTGGAAACTGAAAAATTGTAAATAAAATTTAAACTAAGCGATAATATTTCATCTATGGTAATTAGCATAATGGGACCCTACTTTTTTAAATAGAGCGTCAAATTTTGTAGCGTTAATATTAGCATTAACTGACCTTACTTTGTACTATAGAGTCAAGATTTATAGCGTTGAATGGTACACCCTGGGACACTAACGGGAAGTTTGTATGGGAACAATAGGAATGGAATAGATAAGGTAACGTCTCATTCATGGACACATGCAACCGGGAATAATGTTTTTGTGAGTTAAACACAAATTATACAACAACTAAAAAAGCTTTTCAGGCAATAAAGAATGAGCCTTTTCGAGACAGTGGACTGACCCTCTAAAAGGTTTTATCGCGAATGCATGCTATCCTCACCACCGAAACGAGTAGCATTAAACACAACATATACTATCGCATCAACGAAACGAGCAGCATAAAGCACAACATATACTATTGCATCAAGGAAAGAGAAGAACAAAACACACTCTATACCATCTTATCAACAAAAGGAGCAGCACAAATCCCCAATATATACCATCTCATCAACGAAAGAGAAGCACAAAACACACCCTATACCATCTCATCAATGAAAGAAGAAGCACAAAATCCAGAATCTACCATCTCATCAACGTAAGAGAAGCACAAAACACACCCTATACCATCTTATCAAGGAAAGGAGCAGCACAAATCCCCAAAATATACCATCTCATCAACGAAAGAAGAAGCACAAAACACAAAATATACCATCTCATCAACGAAAGAAAAAGCACAAAATACACCCTTTACCATCTCATCAACGAAAGAGAAGAACAAAACACACCCTATACCATCTCATCGACGAAAGAAGAAGCACAAAACCCAAAATATACCATTTCATCAACGAAAGAAGAAGCACAAAATACACCCTATACCATCTCATCAACGAAAGAAAAAGCACAAAACACACCCTATACCATCTCATCAAGGAAAGAGAAGAATAAAACACACCCTATACCATCTGATCAACAAAAGAGAAGTACAAAATACACCCTATACCATCTCATCAACGCAAGAGAAGCACAAAACACACCCTATACCATCTCATCAACGAAAGAAGAAGCACAAAATCCAAAATAGACCATCTCATGAACGAAAGAGAAGAATAAAACATACCCTATACCATCTGATCAACGAAAGAGAAGTACAAAATACACCCTATACCATCTCATCAACGAAAGAGAAGCACAAAACACACCCTATACCATCTCATCAACGAAACAAGAAGCACAAAATCCAAAATAGACCATCTCATCAACGAAAGAGAAGAATAAAACATACCCTATGCCATCTCATCAACGAAAGAGAAGCACAAAACACGCCCTATGCCATCTCATCAACGAAAGAAGAAGCACAAAATCCAAAATAGACCATCTCATCAACGAAAGAGAAGCACAAAAACTCACCATATACTATCTCATCAACGAAAGAGAATTACAAAAACACACCCTATACCATGTCATCAACGAAAGAGAAGCACAGAACCCAAAATATACCGTCTCATCAACGAAATGAGCAGCACAAAACACAAAATCTACCATCTCATCAACGAAAGAGAAGAACAAATCACACCC